GCACCTGAAAATAGGAGAGAGAGGAAAACGTTAGGGAAGGGAGAGCATAAATCCAAAGCCCTGTAGCTGGAAAGGCAGACAGTGACAGGGCTGCTCCTGTATGGCCTGGGAACGGACAGCAGCAACTGGGGCAAGGTGGGACTTGGGCTCTGCAGAGGAAACGCAAACCGGGTGGGCTGGAGGCACCCAGCAGCAAGCGCTGAGGAGAGGAAGGAAAGGGAGGGAGCTGCTGCAATTTCTCTGGCAGGGAATGGGGAAAAGGCAAGAAACGCAGCTTTGGTGCCAGCACTGCCCCAGTGCTCCTCCTGCTCACCCAGGCGTGTGGCTAGCATGGCCCAACACCAAGCACTAGCAGAGAGCTGCTGGGGAATTGCTAATTCCCCAAGCAAACAGCGCTGTTTCCACAAAGCCTGCTCAAAGCACCCAGCAAAGAGCACAGGGAGCCACCACACAGAGAAATACTGAAAAAGCAGCTGCCAAGGACCGGCCTCAGCTAACATGGCGGTAGGTTGTTGAGGGCTCCACCTCAACAAAAACAGTAATGAGAAGGGTTGGATGAGTGCCCCCGTGTTTTATTGAGTATCTGAAACAACCCAAGCACAGCACGCTTTGCCTCTCTGCACGTGCGGACATAGAAATCTGGGCACTTACCAGCCCGTTTCATGGTTTCTTTTATTGACTCAGAAGAAATGTGAACTCCCTATCAAGGTCTTTTAATCACAAGCTTTCTCTGCGCACTTTCTGCTCGAAGCTTGGTGGATATCTTTATTACTGTGTACTACAGAGGGATGAGCACATTGTTTGCACTCCATAAAAAATAAATGTGCTCAGCATGCTCATCAGCACTCCAGCCTGCCTTGGACAAGGGCTCCAAGCTCTGTGCTTCTCTTTATTTAAACCTGTTAAACCTATTTAATAGGTTTTAATTAAACCCTTTAAAGCTATTTAAACCACCAGATTGCCACCCTTTGATGGTGATATATTTGTCTGTCCATGTGTAAGAAAAAAGGTAGGAGTTATTTTATAGTATGAAAAACAAACCGCCACCCCCCTTGTGTTAGTCATGCTAAATCAATCTGAAAATGTCTTTAATGGGTGCAGTTTTATATAGAAAGAGCTTTTTACATATTGTGCATTGCTGATTAGAACAAGAAAAAGAAAGAAAGGAGAGCCCCTTCCCCTGCAACAGGAAAGAACAGGAGCGTTGGTGTAAGTCACCCCCACCCAGAAAGCAGAGAGAAAACTACGTCCTTCTCTGGGTAATGCTTACAATGCTTTTTCCTTACCATGCTATTTGCAAGCCTATTTTTGTTTCCCAGG